GCGTGGCCCCAGCCACCTGCCCGTGCCCCATCCCCTCTTCCATAGCCTTCAAAAGCTTTTAGGTCAAGACTGACCTGTCCTGCCATCACGGGACTTGGAAATGCGTCCCTGGCAGATACTTCAGTCATCCTGGGAAAAGAAGCCCTCTGCCTGTTTACCTCGGGGGGCTGTAGGCTCAGGGGGCAAGAAGACGCAGGAGGCGGAGGCCTTTGGTGGTGCTGGCCTCCACCCCGAACCTGGGGAATGAGCCCACAGGACGGACTTCAGAAATGTCTCCTAACTGGGTCTGTCTTCAAGTCCCCCGGCCACCCCCTGGGCTCAGACCCCCAGCTTGGCTCATCCAGAAAAGTCAGCAAGCAGCCTTCTCTCTGGATTCCCTGAACCCACCAGCCCCTCAGTTCAGTTCAGCCTCCACCCAGCAGCCTGGTCCCAGGCTTCCAAACCAGTGTGCCCCAGATGCCAGTCACACATTGACTGCCAACAGGGTCCCATCCAAGGTCTGAGGTCACTGCTCAGGGTGCAGCCAGAGCTGAGAATAGGGTTCTGAAGCATGTGTCTCCCAGTGGCTCTTCAGAGACAGCCTCTGCCTTACATGCCTCCTAAGCAGGCCCCACTGCATGTCCGAGCTCCTGGCCCCCTTCCTACCAAGGTCCTTAGAACCCAGACCCTGACCTTTCTAAGACCCCACTCTGATCCCTACTCGGCTAGACTCTTCTCCACAGGGCTGTGGGCCTATTATGGGTTGAATGGCTCCCTCCTGTAAAATAGTTTTGCTGGAATCCTAACCCCCAGGGCCTCAGAGTGGGACCTTGTTTGGGGGTAGGGACTCAAGGTAAAGTGCGGCCATTAGAGTGGGCCCTAATCCAGTCTGACTAGTGTCCTTGTAAAAAGCAGAAACTGGGAGACACATGCCCAAGGGGAGCACGTGTGAACTCCAAGGGGTCATCTCCAGGCCAGGAAGACACCTGGAATGGATTCTCCCTCTAGAAGGCACTAACTCGGCCGGCACCTTGATCTTGGACTTCCAGCCTCCAGAACTCGGGAGAACCAAGAGCCCCAAGGAGGGCGTCCGGGAGCCCCAACCCCCAGGCCCAGGCCCACAGCACCCTCCTCAGTACAGAGGCTGTCGTTTCGGGCCATCATGTGGGGTCCTTTGTTGTACAGTCCTAGAGAACTAACCCGCCTTTATTAAGGCCTGCGTCATCGCTTGGATTCTAATTTACCAGTGTTTTTGTTTTTTGTTTTCTCTGTTTTATGATCTTCCTAAATCATTGCTCCCTGCTCCTCCAGAAGTCTAGCTTATAGCAGCCAAACAGTCTGCACACTATAGTCTCATTACAAAACCTATTTATCTTCTTTAAATATCCCGGAGCAGTAAAACTAAAGATATGATCAACTTATTTTGCCTGGAGTTACCAATAGCCTTTCCATAGCATTTAACTTCCTCATTTCTCTGACCTGAGTTTAAAGGAAAAAAAAATATATGTACAGATCACTCTGAAGATATACATTTTGGAAGGATGTCACCTAATCACTTTTCATCTTTCTGTCAACATCTTTCCTCACCTGGGCCATTCGGTGCCCCAAGATGCCTCCTCATTCCCAGAGTCACCTGATTGGAGGGCCCCCTGCCTTTCCTGACACCCTCCCCACCCCCTATTCAATTACACCTGTGGTTTGGAAACACAATTCTTAGTCAATCAAATCCTGTAACTGGTCAGCAAATATTTACTGAATGAGCTTCAGGCAGTGGGCGTCCCTCCCACGCCCCCCCCACACCCCCAATACCTCCTCTAACCCTGTTCTCCTCCCTCCCTATCCAGCCACAACCCTCCTGAGCTTCCAAATTTCTGCACTCCCAGACGTGACCACCTCCCCCCTCCCCGGCCCCACCCAACAAGCCACCAATCAGAGATGGCTGATCACTAGACTAGCAGAAGGGTCCCATGGTTGCAGGAACAGAGCAAAGGACTCACACGTGGCTAGTTCTCTTTTTTTCAAACTAAAGGCTTATTAATACTCAGAAAAATCATCTTAGCATCCTGTGATTCCACTTTATTCAGTGGATGTTCATCACCTCTATACTAAGAAGACCCAGCAAGGCACCAATATATAAAGCGTGGTACCTGCCCCTGACGTCTGGTGAGGAGTGCAGATGCGGATACAGGGGAAGTTCACTTGCACAGCGATTCGGGCTAGCGCACATGTGGGCACAGGTGGGCACAGGTGCGGTGGGCACTCTGGGGAGGGGGATTCTTCAAGGGTGGGAGGAACTAAAAAGGCTTAATAATGAAGGGCACACTTGAGCAGGCCCTTGAAGGATGAGGAGATTTTGCCAGACAGGGAAGGGAGAAGGGAGGGTCCAGGCTGAGGGGCAGGGGGGCCTTTCTTTACCTCCATCAGTGAACCTGGGCTAAGGTGACTGACAGCTGATGGGGTGGGTCAGCCCAAGGCTGGGACTGGGGTGAAGGGATTCAGAGCAGTGGGGCTTTGAGTGAAAAATTGAAGGGGATGTCAAAAAAAGCAAAAAACAAAGAAGAACTCAGTGATCAAGATAAATCCTATTTTAATGCAACATTTAAGAAGTCAAAATTGATGCAAGAATCCATTGCTAACAATATACCAAACTTAAAAACAAAGCCAGCATGACTGATTTTTCCTTTTGGGTCTGGCTCATTTTCACTGTTAAAATGCAACTTTTAAAACGAATATATGTATGTGTGTGCATGACGGGGACATTGTGCTGTACACCAGAAACTGACACATCGTAACTGACAGTACGGCAATAATAAATAAATACATACATACATACATACATAATTTTTAAAATGCAACTTTTTAAGTGTTCCCAGCTATCGGCATGTGTGCACTTGTTTTTACCAATAATCCCCTTTAATTTCTTCCTGGGGAAGATGAGAGAAAGAAAAAAACATATGAAGATGTACCAAAAGCTCATTCCTCCCTGTTCTGGTCTTCAGCAAGATTCCCTCCTCCTTTTGGAAACTCAAAACATTTTCAACCAAGTACTTCAGTTCAGGAGCTGGGGAGCTTTCCCTCACACTGAATACGGTTCGACACCCGTTTCCTCTGCTACCCGACTACCAAGCCAAAGGCACAGGCCAGAGGCTGCGAGCTGGCCGGCGACCCTGCGGATGTGTGTGCATCCTGCCGGAAGCAGCGGAGCTGGGCAGGAAGTGGCAATTAAGAGGAGGGCAGGCTTCAGCAGAAGCTGAGCAGTGCTGGCCCCAACAACCCGGGGCTTATCAAAGGAGGTGGCTGGGGCTGACTCTGGTAATTAACGGGATTGCAGGTTTCAAAGGAAAAGGGAGGAGGCCTCGCCAGCATTGCTGGCGCCCAGCACTTTCCCTAAAGGCACAGACAGAAACAGGATGAGCAGCCTGGGGTGGGGGGGGCGGTCCACAAGGCCCCTCCCTCAGGGAGGGAGTGTGTCCTGCTGTGGGGCAGTCACTCCTTCTCCATGTCCTCTGACAGTCACCTGTTTGCTCCAGACCCTTTCTCTTCTATCATTACTGACTCTTTCTTAACTTTTCAAGATAATCTTCCTTGGGAATGAAGTTTCTTACTCTTGGACCTTCCCTCGGTGACCTTATTTTTGGAGTTTAAGGAAGATTTTCCAATTTCTCTTTTAGGTTCTGATTTCAGCTAATTTTAAACCAAACTTACCAGGAGTAACTAAATATTTGAAACATCTATTTGAGCAAAAGTGAATCGATTTAGTCCCACGGGCCAGACAGCACGAGACAAGGGGACTAGGGGTTGCCGAATGCAGCACCCACCAGGATCTGCCCGAAGTGAGGAGGGGGACGGCCCATCTGCTGCGGACCATGTGTTCTCGGGGGACCCTGCACAGTCAGCATGGCTGGTCACACGTGTGAGCCACTTCGCTTTCAGAACCACCAGCTTCCCTATGCGAGCCCGGAACCTGGGCTCTCCATTCAGAGCCTACAGGCACCTGCTGAAACGGAACATCCAGGGAAAGGCTCAGAGGAAAGGGTTCTCCCTCCCATGACCCTGACAGAGACCTGACTGTAGCCTGCAGGGCTGGATGGAAAGACTTAGACAAAAAATAAAATCTCAGAACCAGGCAGACAAAAGGTCACCCTCGTTTGGAAAGCCTGCTCACCCCGGAGTCAGGAAAGCTGCCCTGGAATCCTTCGACATGCCTGCTGGGTTTCCGAGGTCCACCCTGAGCCGCAGTGTCCTCGGGGGGGACAAGGGCTGGGGCTGATGATGTGCGTGACACTCCCTCCCTCGCATCTCCTGCCCACTCCAGCCCTGTTCCCTGATCTGATCCCCCTCTTACACTCCCTCCCTCCGGAAGCTCTCCACGCAGCCTCCAGGGATCTCTCCAATGAGACAATCAGACCTTGTTCCCCATCTGCTTCAAAATCACCGCTGACCAACCAGGTCAAGCATTTATCTGCAAGGGCACACTGCCCACAACGTTAGCTCTGCACTCCTGGTCCTCCGGGATGTGGCCTGGCCTGAGGTCCTGCCTTAGCTCCCGGCAGACACACAGCAGGGCTCTCCGCTGCCCCTCCACTGGTGCCCGCTTCCCGCTTCCCTCTGCTTGAATTCCCTACCCTGTGCTCAGACTCCCAAAGGGAAAGCAGGGCCCACCTCTGGGAGAAGAGACGCAGAAGGCAGACCCTCCAAGGCATTTCCTTACCTGTCACCTCATCAGCATTATCATTATAATCGCCCACCATGCCTACCATCTTCTGAGCACCCCCTCCCCAGGAAGTCTTGTCTCCCATGCCCCACGCTCCCCAGGTTGGTTTAAGCCCCCTGCTCGGGGCTTCCCGGCACCCCAGGCTCGCCTCTCTCCTGGAACGCACCACACAGCCTCGCAACATGCACCTTTGTCCCTCTGCCTCACCTCTCATCCTTGCTTCTGAGGCTTCCATTCTGGTAGTTGCCGCAGCACTGATGCTCAAGCTGAATGAATGAATGAATGAATGAATGCAAGAAGGAACATATCTATCCCACAGTGGGTGCACAGAGGTTCCTTTATTGTTGAGTCTCTTCTTAAGGACATCTGATGATGCCAGAACTCTCCCTGCTTCCCTAGCCTCCTAGGCTCTGAGGATCAAGATTCCTGTCTGCCCAGCGGCACCCTCCATGCCGCCGCTATGGCCCACACACCTTCAACCAGCAGCAGAGTGCAGGGCAGAACCTGTGTCGCCCCAGTTTTAGACCTCTGTCCACCTGGAACACGGACTTCTCACCACATGTTTGTCCTGACAGTTCCCACCAGCTCATTCACAAGACAGGAGGGCTGTTTTCTCTGCAGTGAATGTCTTGGGCATCCTCTTCGGGAAGGAGGCTTGACTCAAGTTCCCAGGCACAGTTCTCCTTAACATCTTCACCTGGGAGCCTCATCTGTCTCCTCTCCAACTCTCGGAAACAGGAACCTGGCTGACATGTTTCAGGATGCAGCCCTCCCAGGCCCCCTTCCTGGAGCTGAAACTTAGCAGCTTCGAGCAGAAAAGGAGACAAGCAGGTCATCCAAAGCCTTGCAACCACCTGAACGCAGCCCTCAGTCACTCCTGACCTCTCCCCCAATTAAATAACCTCAGTTCCTCAAACTCCCTTCGAAAGCATCACCTACACAGCAAGAAGAGCGAAACACTCTGAGCCTTGAGCTGGCGAGGAAGGAACCAGGCTCTCTCCCGACTGAAGCAGCATCTGGGGGGGTGGGAGGCAGAGTGGCTTTATAGGCGACAGGAGGAACTAAACACTAAGATTTTCATTTTAGTGCAAGTGTCAGTGGCACACCCCTTCTGGGGCAAATTCCCAACATCCTGATCAATCGCAGACTAGCTCTGAAAACGCTGGTTTTCTTCAGGTGATAAATCAGAAATTTCCACGCATCGTAAGGAGTGCTTCCCAGAAAGAAACTTTTAGAGGCTTATTATGTGACTTCAGTGCTTTAGAGGAGTGAGGTGCAAATGAATGAAAAGGGGAATGTGTTTTCCCCCTCCCTTTTGAAATGGCAGTAATATTCCAAGTGAAGGCAATTTCCAGAAGCACAGTACCTCTGGGCAATGCGACAGGAAAGGATATCCTACCGAAGCTGGTCATCTAATCGCTCACACTGTACCTGCTTCCCCGCCAGGCTGTGGTCTTGCCTCATCTTGGGAAACGAGTAAGTCAGAGCTGTGGTGACAAGCTAACGTCTACATCCTTCAGTCTTAGAAAGTCAGTTGAAAGCAACAAGGGACTAGCTGACGTTCGCACTTCTCTCCCCCTGCTTTCTGTGCACCACATGTCTGAGTGGCTGCGTGGGTCCCCCACGCAGACCCTCCTATTGTCCCGATGCACCATTTGGCCGGCAAACCTGGTGGCTGAGAGCTCATCTTCTCAAACCATGTAGTGTCTCCTAGAGGAAGAATGTGTGTCGATTAAGGTAAACAAACTTGTCAGTGAAATAAGCCAATCAAAATTTGCCATCAGTATATACGTCCAGGTCCTTTTCTTTCTCCCAATGTCGTGGATACCTGTGACCTGGTTATGTGTCTCTTATTCATTGTCATCTTATTTCTGCTGAGAATAAAATTGATTCACTCAATGAGCGTTAATTGAGGACGTCTGGGTGTTTGGCAGGTGCAAAGTGCCGGGGAAGCCTGTCACAGGATGCACCAAGCTGATCCCCTGGAAGCTCACTGCGTCCTGGGGAGGCAGAAACAGCAACAACCTGGTACGAAATGCTCCCCGGGCTCTTTATGCCTGGGGGGCCGGGGAGGGCTCTACACGGGGCAGGAACGGGCCTCTTCTAACTGCAGGGTGGGCCATAAAAGCCCCTCCAGATCTTAAATGAGAGATCTTCCAGGCTAGACCGGGGGAGGGGTGCAGGTCTCCAGGGCGGTGGCAAATTTTCCCTTTGCCCAAGATTTGGGCAAAACCCAAAGAACACAAGGAGCTATGTATCCCCGAATTCTTGGAAAGCCTCCAACAACAGGGGGGGCTTATAGGAAGTGGCACAGTCTGATGACTCCCCAACACCCCTACACCCCTCGCCCCCACCCCCTAGCAGCCCAAGAGAAGAGGAAGGGGCGGGCTTGCCCTGGGGGCCACCGTGCTCCTGGTGAGAGGACCCCTCCCCTCCTGGCTCTGAGGGCATCTCTGCGGAAGACCGGGGCACCTGGCAGAGCCAGAACCCTGCTCCTGGGGCGGACGTCTGCCAAGGATGCAGGGTTCAGAGTGGCTGAGAGACCTCTGTTTCTCAACTGTAATTTTCAAAACAGCACAAAGTGACCTTCGGGGCTCGTTTTTGGCAGTAACATTTTTATGAGTCGATGAACAACATAAATTAGATATCCAGGCCTGATCAAGCCACAGGCACCTTCACTGGGACTCCAGGCAGTGTCCACCGCTCGAGTCCTGGACTTCCACCTGGCACTTCCGCCTCCTTTTCTTCCCCGACCAGAGGCTCCTTAGTGCCGCCTCCCGACGCCGTCGGGTGGGCTGGGCTAGAAGCCCGGGGGCCACGGCAGCAGCTGAGCCTTCAGCTGGAAACACCGTCACGCGCTCAGCTCCCTTTCGTCCAGTCCAGTTCGGCCTGGTCCCCAGTGGACTTGATGACACTTGGTTGTAAGCTATGGGTGCCAAGCTGTCCCCTTTGAGTGTGCCTTCAGGACACAGGGGTCACCGCCCGGAGGCTCTGGGTGTTTATGTTGAAACCTGAGGGATGAGGGTGGGGGCAGAGAAGCAGCCAAGGCTCCTCCCACGTTCCCTCCCCAGCCCAGGGCGGCATGAGTGTCAGAGCCGCCTGGGGGGCTGGTGGGAAGAGACCTCTGGGCCCCTCTCCCCAGGGCTTCTGATTCAGCCGGTCTGTGGTGAGGTCTGAAAACTGGCGTCCCCGACAGTTCCCAGCGGCACTGATGTCATGGGCCACACTCTGTGGGCCACTGCCCCGTGCCCTGGTGGAGACCGAGGTAGTTCTGCCCCTGGACACGGCTCCACCTGGAGCGATGAAAGCTCCCCCCGCCCAGGGCCACGCACCACCGCCGTCCCCCTGCGGAAGAGCTCACAGGGCGCCCCCGGGAAGTGGCCCGGCCCGGCCTGGCCCAGCGATGCTGGCTCTGAGGGTGATGCTCCGGGGGAGGCGGCCCCGGTGGGCCAGGGAAGATTTTAGAGGAAGTGACTTTTGAGACTGAAGGACAAAGAAGGGCCAGGCCAGGAAAGGGGGGGTGAAGGGAGTCCCCGAGAGTGGGACAGGCAGGCGCACACCCCACCAGGCTCAGGAGAGCTCAGGGCCCCAGGGAGCCGCGAGCAGTCCTGGCAGCAGCACCTGCGAGAGGAACAGGGGGTGACAGCTGGGGCTGGAAGGGGGCCGGGGCGCACCCTGGGTTCCTCAGGACAGTCAGAGCCTGGACGTCATCCAGAGGGCTGGGGAGCTGGGAGGGACCAGAGGGGAAGGTGTCTGCCAGGGTCCCGGGCCACTGTGACTTCCCAAAGGGAACGGCCCTCAGAGGGGCCAGATTCAGGGACCCAGGGACTCAGGACTGAGGCGGGGAGTAGATGGGTGGGGGGACGCTTAGCTCAGGCTGCTGTCACAACATACCACAGACTGGGTAGCTTAAATGACGATCACTTATTTCTCACAGTTCTGGAGGCTGCAAGTCCAAGAACACGAGGCAGGCAGATTCGGTGTCTGGTGGGAGCCGTCTCCTCCCGTGGGGTGGGGGGTGTGGCTCGCTGGTGACTCTTCTTATCAGGACCTGACTCCATCATGGTGGTCCCCACCTCAGGACCTCATCAACCCTGATCACCTCCCAAAGGCTCACCTCCAAAACCATCACACTGGGGTCAGGGCTTCCACATAGGAATCTGAGGAGGACACAAACATTCAGTCCATATGGGGGGAGGGGAGAGATCAGAGCTGGAATTTACTTAAGTTTCCAAAGGGCTTTACATAGGGGGGAAAACCAGTACCATCCAAGGGAAACCGTGACATCTCTGCGAAGGCCTGTGCTGCCTTCCCTCTGCCCACCGGCATGCTGGTTCTGATAAACAGCAGGTCACCTGTAAACACAATTTTCTTTCCAGAAGCAAGCTCAATGGGGGTACTGTTGGTTAAAAATTAAACAAAATGAAACTCCAATCATGTGAGCATCACATTTTTTTAAAAAGCAACTACTGGTTTTCTCTTGATCCCGACAGGATCAGAAAGCACTTGGAATCATTCCCTGACGGTCAAAATTCATTGGTAAATGGTTATACAGTCTGTGCTCAGCTGTGGATGGACTGGACTTCTGTGTCAGCGCCAAACTCCTCAGTTTTTCCTTCTCCCTGGAATTCCTTGCTCAGCACACATTTTCCAGGACAGACGCGGGCCTTCTCATCGCCTTGTTCTCGGGCGACTTGGGGGGAACAGGAGACACTGAGTTCTTGGTTTAAAATGAGAATCAGTAAATGGACTTTGATGTAGAGAACTTTTCATCACAGCCAACGTTTCCAATGCATCTCCATTCATTCCTTCACATGCTCCGTGCCGCACACAGTTGTAGGTACTGGGGTACAGGGTGAGGATGCCCTAGGCCCTGCTCTCCCAGGCTTTATTGTGTGAGAACATTCCGAGGGTATTAGGGACTGTTCAAAGAGTCAGAACAGGTTGACAGGAGAGAGGGTTATGGAAAGCCACCTAACCTGTCTGCCTCTGGGATTAACCCTGAGCCCAAGACTGACTCTTCGGTGCCGCTCCCTTAGGACCAACCGACATCCCGCAAAACCTCCCCACACCAGTCTCGCCAGTCTCGAGTCCTCTGTCCCAGGCCCTTCAAACATCCAGCGCAGAGTCTAGACATTAAAACGAAACACACAAAATAAAACCCTCTTCCAGTTTTCAAGCTCCACTTTATGACTTGAAAAGCAAAATCTTTCTAAAGCATAACAAGTTTCTTCAGCTGAAGAAAACAGCGAACTCTAAAAGGCGAGGAATCCAGTGGCTGCTCTCTGTCACATGATCACCAAATACCGAGAAACCATCCCGGGACCAGGGGGCCAGCCCAAAGCAGCCGCTTCAAAGACACTGCTCTTTAACGGAAGGCTTAACACAGTGACCCCAGAAACGCGGGGGGGAAACAGTCCCAGAGCTCAGGAGCTCACACTGGCTTTCCAAGGAGGTCACCAGCGTGGCCTTCCCGACGGGATTCGCAGCGTCAAAATCCCATCTGTAGAGTCTGCCAAGTGTCGGCGGCTGCGATGGCCTTTCAAAAGAGCCAGACTTCGTGCCACTTCGAGAGGAAAAGAAAAGAAGCTAAAGATTCACTAAGCTTAAAAATTTTAAATAAAGGGTAGCTTTCCCCCCAAATAAATCAAGCTGATACAGCCATGGGGACAACTGCAGCAGACGGAGTGAGCTGTCTCCCAGGTCCCCTGGCCGCTCTCCTTGTCACGGGAGGAAGAGACGCCGCAGTTACTGCCTCTTCCTCCTCCTCTCCGCCCAGCCTCTGAGCCACTGCTCTGCCCTGGGGAAGATGCCTTTCCCAACTTGTCCTCTGCATCCTTGAGCTGATCTCTCCAGTTTGGGTGTGAGGAAATCTGGGCCTTTTCTTCCCCCTGTTGTGTTCATTCACAAGGGTTTTGCTAAACAGTGTGAATGTTGACCGTATGTTGATTGTGTGGCAAAATATCCTGGGTCCCCTAAAAAGAGTCAGATTGCTGAGTCATGCTGAGTCACTCGCCCAGAGGAATCCTGGGGGGGCATCAGAAACAGCTGGGGCAGCCCAGTGCGCGGCCAGCCTTCCTCGGAGGGACGGGCGCGGGGGGTGTGGACGGCGGGGCTGGAACAGCCTGGCTGAGAGCCCGCAAACGGCCGAAGCACCGCGGCTCTTACAAAAGAGCAAAGTCCTGTTAACGTTGAATTTCTAGAACTCTGCCTCCAGAGCAGAATCGCCGAGCTGGAGCCAGAGCAGCGAGCAGGACTAAAGACACTTGTAAACAGAAATAGCACTAAATGGGGGGAAAAAAAGCAGGATTTGATCACTATCAAAACACAAGGATTGCTTCAATGTGTATTTTTTTTAACTTGTCCTTTGCTGTCTCTCACACTGTACGACTGTCATTCACAAGTCAACGAACTGATTTATTTTGATTATAAGGAACTGTGTTTTTAAATGCAACACGGGTAAGCGTGAGTGGTTATTTTCTGTCGTTCCTTCAATGTCCCTCAAAATCAGAACTTTCATTAGATGACAAAATGGTCACTTCTCCTCACCTTATGGCCATGAGGATCACCTGGGGGACTTCCTCTAAAACGCAGGTCGCAGTGATAATTCCACATCTGCTAAGAAGCTGGGGCGGGGTCTCGGGAATGTTTCTTAAACGTGACCCCAAGATTACCTAGGAAGCTTGTGAAACAATTCAAAGGGCTTGGCCCTACTTCTCACTCTACCCTTTGATTCTTATGGGATAGGTAGAGGTGGGGGGTCTACAACCTCATGTTTTCTAGAAGCTTCCAGGTCATTCAAGTTGGGTTTCCCCTGGCTGTGCTCTCAAGAACAAAACAGCAAAGTCCTGTCACTGCCTAGATGACCCTCAGTTTCTGAGCAGACATGGAAATGTTGCCTATGGGTCTTCGTTACTCTCTTCCCTTCAGGAATAACTTTCTGTTTTCCCCACATTTGACCGAGAGATGCAGGGAAAGCGTATCCATTATCCCTGCTTTGCTGCCTAATCCTGACACTTAGAGGCTCTGTGACCTTAGACTTGTTACTTAACCTCTCTGAGTCTCAGTTTCAGACTCATACTAAAAGAGAGCACCTGAAGCTGTAGCTGCTTCCCTTGGGTTGTTGTTGGGATCGGGTACACACCCTCCTGCAGGCCTGGCGAGTGCCTGTCCCTCTCCTGCTTTACTGCATTCAAGTTCCAGCCATGTGAGCAGGGAGACTTGCTTTCTTCAAGTCTCTGCTCAAATGTCACCTTCTCCATGCAGCCTACCAGGACCACCCTATTCAAAACCATTACTCCACCCTTGCTGCCGGCACTGTTCGTTCACATCCCTGCATTACTGTTGCAGCCTTCATCATTTTCTGATAAGCTCTGTGATTTACTCACCAATTTTGTTTCTTTGTCTCTGCCTGATAGAATGTAACATCCTGGCGGTCAGGAATTTTTGTCAGTTTTGTTCACTGATGATTCCTAAGTTCCCAGAAGAGTGCCTGGCTCATAGTAAGTGCTCAGTGAATACTGGATGGATGGATGGATAGATGGAGAGGTGGATGGATGGATGGATGGATGAACAGGTAATGGATAGGTGGATGGCTGGCTGGCTGGATGGATGGATGGATGGGTAGGTGAATGGGGGAATGGATGGTTGGGTGGGTAGATGGGTGGATGGATGCCTGCCTTTGAGCTGTACCTCATCTGAGCCACCATTCACACTGGCTGCATGTCTGAGCTTGGAAAACCTGTCTTCCTTTCCAGCTGAGGTAAGATTTGATTACTCACAAGCCAGTGACTTCCCTCTTTAAAACCAACTTTGCTGTTTTATTCCTGACATGTTTTCACCAGATCTGTTTGCATGCTCATTAACTCATGTAAACATTAATAAAAAAAAACAGCTATGAAAACAGCCTCCTACATGTTTCCCCTTTCAGGTATAATTATGTGAACACACAGCACATACGTGGTGGAGAAATCCCCTTTACTGGGCTTCCAAATGACAGCTCCTCCCTGGGAAGACACCAAATCCCAGATTTTTACCTCTCCCCTTCCAACCCCCTTCTGTTCTGCTTTCTGCGTAATTCAAGGTCCTCAAGCAAGACGAAGATATCAGAGCCCCTTCCCGGACACAGCAGCCAACCAGACCCATTCCCACCGCAAGGCAGCCTGGAAACTCAGCCATGCCTTTAAAAGTGCTTGTCAACCAGGACGATATTCCAAAATGTTTATTTCCGCCCTCGCTGCACCCTTTCCACAACTGCTCATCTGTTCACAAATAAACACTTAGTGCTGCCGAACACGATGGCGAGTGGCTTCTATCGTCCCCGTCCCACCCAGTTCCGGCGTCCCATCCCGCACGTTCCTGCTACACCCCCTCAGCCATAGAAGCAGCTCTGACACGGGCCTCGGGGTCCCGCAGCAACAGAGAACCAGGCTCGCGCTCACTGAGGAGGAGACCGGCCTCCAGGCACTACACCAGTTTACTCTCCCTGATCGTACGACTGGGCTCCACTTCCAGCCTCCCTGCGGTCAGGTGTGGACATGAGACAGCAACCCGGTGGTTCTCAGCCAAGGCAATTCTGCCCCCAGGGGACACTTAGCATTGCCTGGGGACAGGTTTGGTTGTCGCCATTGCGGGGGATGCTACTACAATCTAGTGGGAGAGGCCAGCACATGCCCCGCTCAGGACAGCCCCCCACAACCAAGACTTACCAGCCCAAGTGTGAGCAGTGCCGACACCGAGAGATCCGGTTCCCACCAGCTGGATGTGAGCTCAAGTGCTGTGAGCCAGACCCAGCTCTCTCCCCTTCTGCAGTTTCCATGGACACAGCAGAGCCTGGGTCCCTGAGTCACCACCTGGAAGAGAGACACCTGCCCATCACTGACACCCACTTTGGACTCGGAGGGACAGACAGACACTGCGCTTGAGCCGAGTCTGAGTCAGCAGATGTGACCTGGGGGATTTCTGGAGATGTCCTACCTCACGTGGGAGAGAGGTTTCCGGGGGATTTCCCTGGACATCGATTTATAACAGAAACAATGAGCTGGCCTATGCAAAGGGA